CTCATAAATGTAGTGGCATATCCATCAATCAGTTGTATGCATCATTGTTTTCTTTCTTGGTTTTCTCATTACTTCATTCCATTCCCACATATTAGGTACTTTGACAGCTTTCCAAAAGTTGACCTTCAATTTCAAACTTAAAAATTGTTGCCAAAAATTACTATACAAATGTCTAGCACACCTTCATTGACTTGCATGTGGCAAGATTTCTATCATTATTTTAGCTAATCCCCACCATACAACAACAATCAATGTCAAAACTGATTCTAAGAAAAAAAAAATGAATATGAAAAATTTTTAGTGTTACATACCTTTTGGCCATCACTCATTATTGTTAATGGTTTGCTTAAATCACCAATAATAGAACTCAAAGACTGTAAAAACCATCCCTATGAATCTTCATTTTTAAGTTTCACAATTGCAATAGCAATAGGAAATAGACTATAGTTCCTATCAAGTGCTACAGCAGCTAACAAAACTCCTTTATAAGACCTTTTTAAATGCCAACGATCCACATCAATGAAAAGTCTATAGCCATTAATAAACCCTTTCTTCATGGCAGCGAATGAAAGAAAAAACCTTTTAAAAGTAGGGTTAATTCTAATTTTAGGCCTTTCTAATTACATGTTAACAATGTTACCAGGATTGGTATCCTTTACCATTAGAACATATAAATAAAGCATACTATATGACTTAGCAAAAGTCCCTTAAGATTCTTCCAATGCTTTTTTCATATCTTTATACAATTTTTTTGGATTACTATCAACCCATAATTCTCATTCAATTCATTTTACATCAAGTTGTAGGATATCTCTGGTTCAACATGCAACTTTAAGCTTAGTTTTTTTGCTATCCAAGCACTAGATGCAGCACCATGATTATTACTCACTCTAATACAAGTGTGTTCACCCTCACATATCTTTTTCTTAAATATTTTTTCATTAGCAACAATAGATGCATGAATTCTTCAATTATAACTATGTGCCTTATAATATGTTGTAACTTTGGTATTATCATTCTTAACCTTTATGATCTTTATCCCTTCTTGAATGACATAGTTTGTAAAGACTTCTCTAAAGTGATTAACATTATAAAATAACATGTCCTTAACAAGTCTTACTTTTCCAAAATCATCAACTGAATATGGTATTCATTTTATAGCCTTATCAATTGCCCTACGCTTTTTTTTCAGAATCAGAACTTCCAGAATTCATTACTTCAACATCACTACCAAGGTTAAATAACTCATCATTACTATTAGGCACCACCATATCTTTAAGCTCAACATTGTCATTACCATCTGATTCACTATGTTCATCACCACTCTCACTCATTCAATCAACATCGTCATTAGTAAACTTATATTGCTCTTTCTTATCGCTATCTGTTTGAAGTTCACTATTAGATTCACTTTCAGTCATTCAATTGTCAAAATCAAATCTAACATAATGTGAACTACTGGTACTTACTTTTATATCTGACTTCCTATCATTCTCTCTATTATGACCATTTTGACTAGTTTTTACAAATCCTAACTTATCAACAATATCAACAATAGGTGTGAAAGAAGAGTTACCTTTACTCACTAATTTGACTATTATGTTAAGAGGAATTGTTGGAGTAATTTTTAGGTAAATATGGATTTCTTTTACACATTCATGCATTTGGAACAATTGCATTACATCAACATCACTTTTCCACTTCCATAATTCTTTCAACTTCCATAATTTTTTCAACTTTGTATGCCAACCTTGAATGCGTATACTCATTCCCATGCCAATAGTGGAACCATCCATGTTAATTTCAAATATATCATTTGTCAACTCCAAGAAAAAGTATTTATTAGTATCAACGTTCTTGATCACTTGAATATTAGACTTGTAATGAACCACCAAGTCATGCATCTTTGAACTCGCCATTAACAAACGTTTAAAACTTGACATCAACAATTCATTATTAAAACAAAGAAACAATTTTTTTAATGGAGAAAGGTTGTTGGGTTCAGTTGATAACTCAAAACAATGGCAAACAAATCACAGTAATCAAGTATAAAATATCTATTAAACTATTTCAAACTTCAAAACGAACAAAATTATATTATTGATTTATTAATTTCCTCTATATTATGATTCACAACATCAAAAACATCACCCTACAATCATCATAGTCTCTAATCTCATTTCTCTTCATTCTTATTGTGGGGTAAAGTTAAATTAAGATAAAAAAAAAAATCATCTCAGCATTTTTTTATACAAGAATATCTTTCACCTTTGATCCTATTCCAATAAAAATTTAGTTTTTTCTATTAGAAAAGGCAAACAGGATACATGAACTTTCATAATATGCAAGTCCACATACCAACAAAAAAGCTCTTTATTGGCTATTATGTTTAACCACCTTCTGATTAATTCTAAAATACTAAAGGCTCTACATAGAATTTTAATTTATTATCAAAAATCGATCATATCACTGTCAATATTAATGTGAAATTGTAATAAAAATATAGCTAAATTATTGATTTTTTTTTTTTTTTTGGTGGACCACTAAGCTTGAAAATTTTTGAAATTATGATCCTTTGGTTTATTAAATTTATAAAATATACATTAAGCTTTTACCCATGGTGGTTGCAATTTTTATCTTTTTGGTTAATTTGTTTTTAGAATTAAAATTGAATAACTTATTCCTTAAATTATAAATTTAATCCATACATTTAAGCAAATTGGAGTATATATCAAGAAATTACTTAAAATCCTCCCGTGTAAAAATCAAAAACCAAAAAAGAAAATGCATGCAAAAAAATAATAAAATTAAGAAAAATCCCATACAAATGGGACCTATATAGATAAAAGTGTGCTTGTAATAAATCGAGAAGAGAAGGTTGATTTTGCAATGAAAGTTTTAATTCTTTGTAGCAAATGCAAAGCCCCACTCTTACAAATTACTTTCCTATTACCCCTTTCAAGACCTTCGTATCATTTTTTTTTATGATAAAAACCATCATCAAGTTCTCCTTTCGAATGGTCAACACTAAAAGACAAAACAATTGCTCTTACAATTGTTTGATTAAGCTATTATTTCTAATTCTAACTTTCTTAAATTACACTTACATCTTGTTTTAGTCTTATCTCATGTCAAAACATACATTTGACTTGGTATTATTAAAACAAAGAAACAGTTTTTTTCATTATTAAAATAAAAAAATAGTTTTTAATGAAGAAGGATTATTAGGTTAGGTTGAGAATTCAAGAAAATGACAAACAAATCATAATAATCAAGTATAAAGTATTTATTAAATTATTTTAAACTTTAAAATGGACAAAATTATATTTTCTTATTTCAAACTTTAAAATAGACAAACAACTATATCAAAATGAGAATAATTACAAAAGATAAAAACTATAGCAAAAGTCAAATCATGGTATTATATGCCAGATGAAGTGAAAAACTTATAAGATGAAATTGAAATAAAATGGGTTGAACAAAATAGCTCTCAACAGTAATTAAAAAAAGAGAGAATCAATTTTAACAAAGATAAAATTAATTCAAATTTGAAGAACTTTAGGCAAAAATAATTGAGATGTCTTCGATTGAAATAAATTGAAAAAAAATCTAGATTGAGAAGGACAATCAAAAGACAAAAGAAACAAGAGGTTAAAAAGAAAAATATCGAAGGAAAAAACTTGTCAAAAAAAACTTGAGTTTAGTAAGATTAATAATTGAGTAATTTTATAATTGTGTAAAATCAATTAATAGAATTAAAAATTTTGAGGTGGATTGTTCATTTTTAATGTTAATGAACTTGGGTTGAATTGGGCTCAAAACCTAACGACTTACATATAATTTACCCAAAATTCTTTTATCCAGAAGCCATAAAGAACTTGGCATGGAGTGCAGAAAGCTATTGGCCTGTCAGAGCAGGAAGTGAAATTGGCATGTTGAGGGCTGCCTCTGCCGGGAAACACAGCACAAGCAATTTTGTCCCCAAAAACAAGAGATTAATTTTTTAACATATTTGCCCATTCTTTATCTATCGATTTTAGCATATTTCATATACGTAACGAAGTAGATTACTTTGTATCTTCAAGCATCAGGACGTTGTGTAAAACATCAGTGAACTGAATAAGAGTACTATTACTATTGGAAAGAGAAATGATTTTCCCCTGTTCTTGAAACTCAATGGAGTAACTTTTTAGCCGTCTAGAAGAAACCAGACGGGGCTGAAAATAAATTTGGCTGGCCGTAAGAGCGTGGATCATGCCTCATGTGAAAGCGTTATTGTCTTGTCTGGTCTAGTTGTTCAGTGGTGAAATGCTTGAGAGTCGAGACAGGAATCAGGATGGAGATTAGAGATTCAACAAGTGTCTTATCGTCGTTTGAGCAATATCGACACGTCATCACCAAGTTGAATGAGTGTCTGAAAATGTTAAAAAAAAAGAAGACTAGTTAAAAGCTCAACAGTCTAGCGTGACACGGTCAGCAACACTCAGAGATAGACGGAATCACCATGAAGATATTGGTCTTGAGCTTCTTCTGTTTCTTCTTCTCCACTCCCTCTCTCTGCAGGTGCTCTCTCTCTCTCTCTCTCTCTCTCTCTCTCTCTCTCTCTCCCCCCCCATTCCATTGCCGATGGGGTTATCATTTGCTTTAAATTATGCGGCTGATACTAATTCAATGGCTTTGATTGATCATTTGGTTCATTTCTTTTTTTTTATCAAAATTACTGCTACTGACTTAGCTAGTGTTTCAGTTAAAGTTTAAAATGTTGTGAACCTGAAAAGTGAACATATAAAAGAACCCACTTTAGAAACACCAAGAAGTTCGCGCTGCATCGCTTCATTTACAATTTTAAAGTTATAATTGTTTTAAAGAAAAGAGTATTTTGGCATCTTAATTTTGCATTGTTTTTATGGTGCTGCTTTTAGCAGCAAAGTCGTTTCAAAATTCCTTGCTCATGAAACTGATCATAAATTGAGAAGCAATTCTTCGCATGGTAAACGCAAATGACTGATGCTGAAATTCTTCCTCGTCATTTCCGCTCATATTATCAAAGCCGTCTCTTAATTGGGGTCCTCCAGGGAACGGATGGCTGTGATGAGATGAGTGGAGGGTGTAAATGGAAGATGTATAACATTAGCTTATGATACTATCAAAACGCTATTTTCAATTTTTGTAAGATTCTATTTTTCTTTTGCTGTGTCAACTATATGGTATCTTCTTGAACCATACAGGGCTTTACTAACTTGGGCAAATATGAATCTGTAATCTATGGATTCCTTGTATGAAAAAATTGAAGTTTGTTAGACTGGACTGGTAGAATATCAGTTCTTTTTTTTTCTTCTACTTTTCTTTTTGAATGATTTTTTTTCCCTGATATCAACATTGATACACCTTGCTACATGACTCACCATTTCATTAAATTAGTTGATGTCTGATAATGATTCTCGATTTCCTTTTAGTGTTAAAGTTATGATGATGATTACTAGTTTCAGGGTACCATCTGAAGCACAATCAGTGGTTGAACCAGAGCATGCTAGCACCCCACCGAGAGGTTGGAACTCTTACAATTCCTTTTGCTGGACCATATCTGAGGAAGAGTTCTTGCAAAGTGCTGAAATCATTTCTAACCGTCTTAAGCCACATGGATATGAGGTATGACATGGCTGATGGCTGCATATTGATTTCCTTGGATTTTTTATTGATATCTTACCATTATGGAGGTGGAAACTTTTATGCGGAATAAAAAATTTTATTTTCTTCATTTTATCCCTGTGCTTGTACACAGCATGTAGTGGTGCATTACCTTTGGTATAGAAGAAAGCTGGAAGGTGCTTACGCTGATTCTCAGGGATTTGATGTAAAAGATGAATGGGGGAGGCTGATCCCTGACCCGGAGAGATGGCCTTCATCCAAAAGTGGGAAAGGATTTTCAGAAGTAGCCAAGAAAGTACATAGCATGGGTTTGAAGTTTGGAGTTCATGTCATGAGAGGGCTAAGCCTGCAAGCTTTTAATGCAAACACCCCCATCTTAGACACTGTCAAGGTACTATCCTGTACGCCTATTACGAGTTACTTCTTTTTTATTCTCTGCACGGTGGCTTCAAAAATATTTTGAATTTCAAAATGTAAAATGGCAATGTTAAAGGTTGATTTCAAGAAACTTAAAAAATTTGAAGCAGTAGCATTGATACTTGTGTTTGAATTTTTATTTTCTTTCTATTATCTTTTTATTAGGGCTCTGCCTATGAAGAATCTGGTAGACAGTGGACAGCAAAAGATATAGGGCTCAAGGAGAGGGCTTGTGCTTGGATGTCACATGGTTTCATCAGTGCAAATACCAAGCTGGAAGCTGGAAGAGCCTTCTTGAGGTCACTTTATCTCCAATATGCTGAGTGGGGAGTTGATTTTGGTAATGTTAACAATTATGTTAAAGTCTTCCTACTCAGTTTCATTACAATATGTTGAATTGTGAAAAAAATTATGACTGAATGCCCTGGGAAATATAGTTTTATAGCGTGTTTTGAATAACATTAAAAATGATAAATTTATGTTTGCATTTTTCAGCTTGCTGGGATCTATTCCCTTTCTCGAAAGCCTGCGTTTCTAGTCATTTTTAATCTTAGAAACTGGCTAAGGGGAGAAAATGGAAAGTCTGAGAGGACCATAACAAAATTCATCCCAAATGAGGCACATAAATCCTTGTTATTTGTGTCAATCACAAATGGACATCTTGATCAGATAAATTTCCTTTTTGCGGTGGCATATTTTGAATCCTTCTGATGCTATTTCTTTCATTTCCTTTGTTTTTCTGTTTGCAGTAAAACATGACTGTGCATTTGGTGATGATTTGGATATAGATGAGATAAGCTTTGTGTCAGAGGTATGCAGTGGTTCATGGTAAACCTAGTGATAGTCATGTTAAAATTTCTGAAGGGAGATATTATCCAAAGTGTCCTGCCGGTTCTGAGAAAGCTTGATCGCCCCATTTTATATTCATTGTCCCCTGGTACCAGTGTGACACCAGCTATGGCTAAAGATGTGAGTGGACTAGTTAACATGTACAGGATTACCAGGGATGATTGGGATACATGGAGAGATGTTGTTTCCCATTTTGACATTTCCAGGTGAATGAAGTATCCCATAAGATTAAGAGTTTATATTCCAGATGAAATTTTAACTTTTGCTTCTTTTACATTTTAGTGCAATTTGCTTCTTTATCTTTCATGTAACCTGATATTTTTGGCTTTTATTTCATAGATTTCTCTACCTACCAAATGATAGGTGCCAAGGGCTTGCTTGGGAGGTCATGGCCTGACTTGGATATGTCACCATTGGGATGGCTCACTGATCCAGGTTATAAGATTGATTGAAGCAAAATCACAACTTAGTAACCCAGTGTGTTTATCAATTAATTAAAAGTGATGATAAGATGCTTGCAGTTAACCCTCAGTTGGGTAAACGGTAATTGTTTGCTTGCATGCAATCAACATTTCCACATTTCATGAAGAATATAATTGAGACATATTCAGTCCTCCAGAGCAACTTATACTTGAAAAGAACGTATTTGGCCTTATGGGCTATGGCATTCCCTAGAATCAAATTTTGAAACATACATCTTATATGAGATCATGTTTTGTTGATGAGAAAAGCCCAACCAAGTTGTTTATGCATTGATGACACTTTTAGTTGCAAAGCATCTTTAACTAGGTGGTTCTATGTGAGGGCTTAGCTAGAATACATGAAGAGCCACAAATAATTGGATACTTCCTGCATTCTAGGTTCAAACGAAGGTCCACACAGAACATGTAATCTTAATCTAGATGAGCAAAGAACTCAGGTATGTTTCTGTAAATACCTGTGATTTGGTCTTCTATTACTTGCACTAAAAATAGATATTTATGTTGACTTTGGCATTTTCTTGTCACAGATGACTTTATGGGCTATGGCCAAGTCACCTCTCATGTTCGGAGGAGATGTAAGAAATCTGGACGAAGCCACTTACAATCTGATCACAAACCCTACACTGCTTGAGATAAACTCTTTTAGCTTAAACAACATGGAGGCATGTAAACTTTAATGGATGGACATAGTTTTTGGAAAATTGAACTTCAATGAGACTAATGTTAACATGCTATTTTGTTATTTTTACAGTTTCCTTATATTAGTGGCATAAAGGGATCTAGAAAGTCAGAATAAGGTTCTCTCCCGGAATTTGGCAGAAGGGGCCATGTTAAATACAGGAGCTTTGGGTTTTACTACCTGCAAGGATCCTAAAGCATATGGGTGGTCAATTAAAGCTCTTGACCAAGATCTTGAACAAATCTGCTGGAAAGAGAAATTGGAGAGCAAATTTGAGGAAACACCGTGCCTTTACAAGAGAAAAACTCTTCTGGCTTCGTAATTATTTTTATGTTTCTTTGTTAGCTTGTTTCCTTTCATTTTTTGTAACTTATGCAATTTTTTATTCAATGTTGGATAACTTATTTAGGGGTGAAGAGATGATCTACAAGCAGAAATATCAGGGAACACTCCATTTATTAGTGAGTGATGGTATGGAATTATGCTTGGATGCTTCTCCGAGAAGGAGGCTTACTTCAAAAGAACTTGGGGTAGGTTCTTTCTCATCTTGATAGGGGGATGCTAATCAGGTATTATATATTGGTAAATTTACAAAGTAGAGAAATTGTCTCAATTAAAAAGAAAGGAAGAAAACACAGTTGAAATACTAATATGAAATTTACCCAAAGGTGATCAAGGAAAATAGAATCTAAAAAATGGGTTATTGAAACTGTGTTACATACAATTCCATTCAACAACAAGAACAACAACAATCTAAGCCTTTTATCCCATAATTTTGGGGTCAACTGTACGAAAGGCCAAAAAAAGGAATTATTTTAAGCCGTAGTTTTGAATTTTCTTGCGCCACCCTGTCGATCCCAAGCCTAGATAAAGTGAGGAGGGTTGCAATAGGATGACAGCTGGTGTAAAACATAGTCAAACCATGATGAGAGACCAAAATACAGCTCCATTCAAGTAGCTCCTTTATCCCTAATAAGAAGAATCGTTACAGTACTGTCATAAATGCTCAATCCCAGGACTTAGTTGTTATCAACTCATACTGGTCAGCATGAAACATATCTGACCCTTATCAGATAACTAATGTAAATACTTACATTATACAGTAAATGTTTTGTATCTTGTTATTGATGACTGTGTTTTCTAGGCTAGGTTCATATAAAATAGTCTTCAAGTCTAATGCTTCCATTCTGAAATTCTCAGATGTGGAGTTGAATGCTAATGGAGTCCTTGTGAACAGTTATTCTGGTCTATGTGCAACAGTGGACTCATTGGAAGGTGATACATTTGGTGTTAGATGAACTGTTTTAAAGATCTTCAAGATTTGGGTACTTTATTTGTGTTAGGTTTACATTTTTCTTAATTTCCAAATACTTTTTGACTATTCATGCGGCTGATGTTGGTTCCAATGGAATTCGTTCTTGGATTGCAACTGGAAGAAGAGGTTTGATATACTTGGAACTGTTGATAAATTTTTTTTTTTCAATTTATACAGCAGATCCGAGCACCAAACTTGAGAATATTGTCCTATTTGAAAGTTCTTTCTCGTTTTAATGATCTTTTTCAAACTTTTTCAGTAGAAATATTTCTTGCATTTTTCAATTTGAACCCAGAGAAGGATGTGATATCTGCTAACATAGCAGACCTTGCTAAGGTACTTCCCTGGAAAATCTTGAATGGAACATCATGTAAATACGATGAAATTTGGAGTGGAAACTTTGGAGTGGCAAAACAGTTGATATCAATAGCAGTGGAGAGGCATAGTTGTACTTTGTTTGTTCTGCTTTGTGATTAACATAGAAAAGTTTTTGGTCGGATAACTCTGCCTTATCTCTCATGTCATGTCTCCATTTTCATTCTTAAGCAATTGTATCAAATGGAGATGCGGGCCATATTATGCGGCTGCTTCTGTTGTTGTACAAGAAAAATAGTGTGTCAAATGGGGATGAGGGCCATATTTGTATTAAACATTGTAGGAATGATAATTGTATCACTTCATTCCTCCAATTTACTATGTCCAAACTGAATGATTTCTTTTTGAATAATTTTTAGTTTCACTTGAAAAAAAAAAAAAAAAAAAAAAAAAGAAAAACCTCCTTTGATTCAACCTAATATGACAGATTCTATATATTTCCAAAGCAATAATTAATTATGTAGCAGATACCCCTTATTCTTTTTTTCATTTAAACAAAAGAAATCTTAGTTACATATTGGGATTTAAATTTTAAATTTAATAAATATCATTTTTAAAGGTAATCATATAAATCAACTAAATAAAATTCATCCTAGATAAGATTGCCTTTTATACTATTTTGTGGAGAGTATCTTTAATGACACAACGTTTAAGAACACAGTTGGTTTTAGTTGAGAGTAGCATAATCTTTTTTCACTTCTGCTCAGTTTCTATTAAGTTGCCCTTTTTGCCAAGAAAAATCCAAATAACAGATATAATAAAGAAAAGTCGGAGAAGCAAATTAACAGAATCTCGAGTAACGAATGATGTCTGGTGATAGTTTTGGACTTCAAACAGTTGCGGCTTTTTCTTTGCATTCATGCTCTGACCTAAATTCTTTTTTTTCAGATTTCACCAAAAGGATATATGATGCATTTTCCCACTTTGTTGAAGTAGTTTACTTTGAGTTACCCTTTGATCTAATTCTCCCATCTAGTGGAAATTCGTGGTAAATCCAGTATGGAATTCTTTCAATCACATCAAACAGTTTAAGTAATTAGCCATGTGATAGAATCCAACCATCTCAATTTGTTTCTTTAGCACAACAGCCTGCCTTTATGTTACTAAATCCCCCGACGTTCTTCCACAAAAAAAAAAAAAAAATCAAAAGCCAAAGGAAGCAATGGTGGAGTTTCAGCTGGAAGCATGAAGGAGAGCACGCCTGCACTGCTGCACAATAATTTTGTGATTATTAGAAGAGGGCTCGAGCTTGAAGAATGATAAAGGCAATGGCGATTCCATTAGTACATAGAAATGATTCTCTAATCAATTGAAAAGAAGAAAAATAACCTGTTTTTAACTTTCATAATGTCTGTGGCCAAAGTGGATGCATCTCACAGTTGGCTTCCAAGAAAAAAAAGGTCAAAACCTGCAAAATCCCCTGCCAAGGAAACTAAAGATCAATCTCTAATTACTTAGAAGTGGTGGCCAATAATTTTCTCTTATGCTGGCCCATAAACATGACCAAGAGCCAGAAGAAGAGGAGGCAGGGGCATAACATTTCTGACTTTCGAGTAGAGCTTTTTTGCCTATAAATGTTGATATTAGTTGCTTTCAATGGCAGTTGGAATCTATGATGATTTCGAAGACTATCGTTTTCATTGTAGTTCTTTAGCTCTCCTTTTCTTTCTCACAATCAAACAAAGCATAAAAGAAGAATTCTAAAGACGACGTAAATGATTATAAACTGACATGACATGAAGCATTTTTATTTGTGTGTCATGTCATTCTAACCAGTGTGTCGTGTAGGCATTGATACTTGACAAGCTTATGCCGTTTGAAACTCCTAATCCAACAAAACACAAACATAATATATGAACCGTGTTTGCAACGGCCCATTACTGCAGAATAAGACTGGATCGAGGGCTGTTCGGCCAATTTGATACCTATAATTTTGGCCCCTACCTTTACACAAACCATAAAGGCGGCTTCCTTAAAATTTAGGGAAAAAAAGTTAGCACTCGAAGAAATCAGAAGGGCAAAGATTCTCATCACCATCCCCACCGTCCAAAACCTATAAGTCAAAGAGTTCAGTGGGCTCCACTTTACACCCGGTACAGTACGGTACACCCAACTGCGTGATACATCGGAGTGTTCCTTAAGCCTATCTCTCATTGGACCGTGCATTTCACTTCCTTTCCCGTGCGTTTGCATTCTATTAACCCATTGGCACCCTCTCTCCAACTAAAATTTTTGTCACAAAAAAAAAAGAACAAAGAAAAAGTGACTGTAACCCGCTCTTAACTTCTTTAAATGCAATCCGAGCTCCGGATCGCTTAACGGAGCCCCAGCTCAATTCTTTTTTTTTCCCTCTCTTTTAGATCTCCGTCCCATTTTGCTTACTTTTCCCAGATCTCCAAAAGGAAAAAAAAAAAAAAAAACAAAACAAAAACAGAAAAGAAGAAATAATATAGTTTTTTTCAAAAATGTCGAAACCCTGGGGTGGCATCGGCGCGTGGGCCGCCGAGGCCGAGCGAGAAGAAGAGGAGGAACGTGAAGCTGCGGAAGCCGCAGCTGCTGCGCCCACGGCTGAATCGCAGAGTTTTCCGAGCCTAAGGGAAGCCGTTAGCGCGAAGCCGAAGAAGAAGAAAATGACTCTCTCGGAGTTCAACATGGGAACATATTCGTCGTCCAGCGGCGTCGGAGTTGGTGGTGGTGATAGGGCAATGGAATACAACAGGCTGACACCCGAAGAGATGATGCTTCTCCCGACCCGACCCAAAGAACGTTCCGCCGAGGAAATGCTGTATGGTCGTCTCGGAGGTGGGTTTTCCTCTTATGCGAGGTCTGGTCCACCAGCGGCTCGGGTTATGCGTGACGGTGACGACAGAGACAAGTCATGGGGCTCCGGAAGGACGTCGTACGGAGGTTTTGATGAAGAACGACGGGGTCCCCCTTCTAGGTTTTCTGATTACGATCAGCCTTCGCGTGCCGATGAGGCGGATAATTGGGCAATGGCAAAGAAAGCGATTCCTTCGTTTGATTCGGGCCGACAAAATCGATACGATGGGCTTGGAACTGGAGGTGGTGGTGGTGGTGGAATCTCTATGGCCGATGAGGTTGATAATTGGACAGCTGGAAAACGGACAATTCCAGCTCGATCTTCAATGTTTGGTTCCGGTTTTCGTGACCCTAGACCGGAGACTGGTAGATGGACCCGAGGTGGTGATGGGGGTGGATTCAGAGAGGAAAGGCCTAGATTAGTGTTGGATCTACCTAGAGGGGAAGTGAATGAGCCAGTGGTTAAGACAAATAAGCGGAATCCTTTCGGGGAAGCGAGGCCTAGGGAAGAGGTGTTGGCGCAGAAAGGATTGGATTGGAAGAAGCTGGATTCTGAGATTGAAGCAAAGAAGGCAATTAGTAGGCCTACCAGCTCTCACTCCAGCAGGCCATCAAGTTCACAATCCAGCAGGTCCGAAGGTCCCCAGCAGCAAGGGATTGAAAATGTAGTGAAGCCGAGGCCAAAGGTGAATCCGTTTGGAGATGCTAAGCCTAGAGAAATTTTGCTAGAGGAGCGGGGTCAGGATTGGCGTAAAATTGATCTTGAACTGGAACGTCGCAGGATGGACAGGTTTGGATTGCATTTCTCTATTCATTTTGTTCATAATTTATTGCCAAATGGTCTTGGTGGCATTTTGTTTGAATTGATTTTGATCTGTTTCCTTTAATGTTGTTATTAATGACAGTTTTGAAGATGCTTAATTGCCTAGCATATTTGCTTCAGTAAATTCCTTTATCTGTTATCACATTGTTGTCATTGCTGATTCTTTTATCCTCCTTAATTAGTGTGTGTATTATGTTGTCTATTAAGCAATCCATTGTTGCTAAGACTTTGAAGTTGATGTAGAACAGTTCAAATATCCATTAATGAATAATATTCGAGTATGACCTTAGATTTTATTGAATGATGTTGCTTTAAACCTAGAAAATATAATTGTTCCTGATTTTTTTTTCTTAATATAGTTTGACTTTTTGGTGTTATCCCGAATATTTCTTTGGAACCACTGAATCATAGTTCACAGTCAGATTGTTGCCATCAATTCTATGTTGCATATGAATTTTCCGGTATCATTACATTCCTCTATATCTATTCTCTGTAAAGGGTTGAGTTGTACTTAAGGGGGTGTATCAGTATAGTGTAAAATACAATAGTTTGTGCATGGCAAGTCTCTACCCTGCTGGGAATTGAGTTGTTCTAGGGTCTGTATTTTTTTTCTTGTTTGGGGGGTGGGGTGGGGATGGAGTTCTAGGAGATATTTGGTGTTTTTTGTGCTTACATCTTTGATTAGACAACACAGAACTGATCTGTTTAGTGTTGCAAAGCTGTTCTACCTGCAAACAACTGAATCAACTAAACAGAATATGTAGTGATTGAGCGGATTTTTTTGAAATGCATGTAGTGGCGGAAGTACTTGAAACTAATTTATGAATTAGGTATGAGTTCCCAACAGATGTTACGGTTGAATCAAGCTTGAGTAGCTTTTTCATTTATTAAATGAACACGTGTTGTTCTATTCTTTTTTTTTTTTTTTTCATTTATGAATATGCATCCTGCACAATTGTGACTGAAATATATTCTTGGTTATGGTACCATAAGTTTAGGGGCTTGTTGAATAAAAAATTACGGTTGATCCAGTTTTTCCTTTTTTGTGGGCTAGGGAAGTAAATTTTTTTTTTCCCTTCCTTTCTGGGTTGGCCAGGGGATTCCTCTTTCTATTTTCTTTTTCTTGGCATCTAAGCTTAGCTCTCTGCATGGTCCAAAATTTACATACATTTACCAAATTGAAAATGTTATAATGCAATGTTGCTTTTGGTTTGTTGTCTTCTCCACTTGATTGCCTTCTGGTGCAGGAAGTCAACACAAATACACCATCCATAAACACTGTTCAGAAGTCCTTTGTATGCTGAGATTACCCTAGATCAACTTGGGGCACATGTGGATAGCATATGCACCAGCAGTCACATAGGAAATGGTCACCTATTAACTTTACATTATGTTGTTTTTTGGTCCAAGATTAAAAGATATGATGATGTACTACCCTTTCCTCCCATCCCAGCAATTTGTACAATCACTCTGCCAGGTTTCTATGCTTCTTTAAGGTTCTTGAAGTGCTTATTTATTTTAGGTGTAGTCCTTTTTTTTGTCATTCCTCCAGTTACAACCTTGTTCCGTTTATGTGTATATGTGCTTGTGTTAAATCTTTGTGTGATATTTCAATTTGTATACTTCTTTTGTTTAGTCTTATTTCTCTTTGAATTACCTTAATCCAACATTATCTTTTGTTGTATCAATGTGACTACACAATCTCCGAGGTGTTATTCGTTGTGATTTATAAGGTTGTCATCTAGATGGTTGCAGATGCCCCAATTGTTCTATGTGCTAGCTCAACATTTTGTTCCTTTGTTGCTCACAAGCAGCTTCTGAATATATTGCCCACACCACTATATTCTTCATTTCTAATGAGAAAAAGTTTCAGGCCAGAAACAGAGGAGGAAAAGATACTGAAAAAAGAAATAGATAATCTAAAGGAGCTTGAGAAAAATTCAACACCAAAAGCAGAATCTGCTGGAGACCAACCCATTTTATATGGCACTCTACTTCACAAAGAAAGGGAATTAGAGACACTTATCCAAGATTTGAATGACAAAGTTAGATTTGGGCCAAAAGCTGTTGAAAGGCCTGGTTCTGGATCTGGCATGATTGGCAGCTTCCCTGATAGACCACCTTCTCAGTCTGGGTCAATTGATGGCTCTAGAAGTGTGGAGTTCATGGATAGGCCTAGATCTCGTGGCACTGCAGATGCATGGACAAGGCCTGGTGATGACCGAAGAGGATTTCAGGGAGGATTTCAAGGTGGCTGGGATAGAGGATTTCTGGGAAACAGAGATTTGGATAGGTATGGATATTATTACCAGTATAATCTCTCATTTATTTCTGCTCTTTCTTTATCCAGTCTTCATGAAAAACTTGACCTCGGTAGCTGAATGTGTATACATATATGTATTTGCCTTTTTTTTTTTTTCACTTTATAGATATAATAAACAGGAGAAGCAAGATTTAGGAGTTTGTGGTATTCTAAGGTCCTTTTTCATGCAGATCTGAAATCCGTTTTTTTTTGTCTTAGAAACCGTGCAAATTCATAACATTCTTAAGACTATTTTCCTTTGTTCCTGCGTAAAACTGATACATCTTGATGAAATGAAGTATTGACTGTTGCTTTGATTCTCTCCAATTTCGTTATCTATATATCATGTTTTGAGATGTCTAACTAAATATTGGCCATTTGTTGCTCTTTCATTGCATTACCGATGCTCTTTTGCTTATTAGAATATTAGAGTTTGCATATCTGCTCATAGAAATCAGATTAATCAATGGCTAATGAAATTATGTTGTTTTATATGGCAGGTCAAGATCAAGGGAGAGATGGTGAACCACAATTGGCAATGGTTTTTTAAATTCTGTCCTCCACTTGTGACCACCTAGACTGATAATATTTTGTCGACTCACTTCTTTTTAATTGTTCTCTTCTTTTGCTCTGGTAAAGTGGAGCAAGAATTCTTGAGTATTGGAACAGGGAACTCCGACATAATCTATTGTTACATCTTGAAACTATGTAAAATGGCCATTCCACTACCTTTTTTAACCCTCTTCTTTCTCTTGGCCTTCTTTTGGTTTTGTAAAGCAAGGAGCCTATATTTCTGGACTCAAATTTTGTGTAACAAACATTGTGGGATTCACCAGTTTATTGTTGAGATTCCTTTCGAATGTTTTATTGTACAGATAATCTGGTGTATTGTTCATGAGGTAGAGGTTGTTGGTGAATTTCGGGCTGCTCTTTTTTTGGTGTGACATGATTGAGATGCAACTTTTGGACTATTTTCATTCAGTTTTTTTTAATGAAGTGATGTATACTAGTTTACAACTGCCTACAAATAATGAAATGCTTAATTCAGAACCGAAGCAAAACATGGATTCAAAAGGTTTTATAACATGCTTAATACCCATGTCAAAGGTTCAATTTGTAAATTTCCCAGCTTATCTGCTAATCTATTGATTCATTTCTGATTCTGTACGTGTTTCTGACTATATATTTGTTGGACAGCGGCTTAAATTCCACCAGCCACTATATTTTTCATGTGCAGCCATTTTTTTGTTGAATGTCAATTAGCATATATTCTTGACTCTTTATTAAGGCTTGGCCGGACCATTCACCATCATAAAAGGAGGCCTTTGGCCATTTGTTTGGTGCATGCAAGGGAGAGGAAGAAAAGAAAGAAAGTTAAAGCTTATGTTGCGGATGCGTTTAATCAGTTCCATACTAAAATTCAGGCTAGTAAACACAGGTCCTGTTGCGTGTCAGCCATATGTCATGGAGCGCATGCCGGTCTTAACGGGCTAGATTGATAAAATGACGTATTTACTGTTGCTTTCATTCTGGTGGGTTCAAATTTCAGCCATGGAACCAACTTTGCAAATGCCGGATCAATCATCAGGCCACAAAACACAACCATTTCTCAAAGTGGGGTCATTCCAATATAATTGCATGTACAGTTGGTTCAATTCTCAGACTTTCATAGAAGATCTCTGATATTCACTAAGCAAGGTGCAATCCCAATTTCATTTCTATAAAATTTCTTGAATAATCCTGGAATTATCATTGAAGATGTCAGGGGTATTTGATAAATTGTTGTCCAAGGAGCATTTCCCTCTGGCATTGTACACCTTTGACACTGACCAAAACGATCTCATAGCTTGCTATAAGCTTAACCTGATCACAGAACAAGTAAAAGCATATGTTCCTGCAGAGGTAATCCGCCAATTTTCTGATGCTGTTAAGGTCAGATAAGAATCTTTTTCTTCTCAAGAAAAACACTAGGTTAAAGTTATATAGTAATTGATGACATAATTATAAATAGAACACGATGTTTCGTGCAGCTATATAATCAAGGACGAAGAGCATTTTAGTTACACAACACGGAGCCAGCAGGCTGCCTACCTTATGTTCTGGACAGATTTCACATCAATGCAGCTCAGGTAGACAAATATGGCTAGCCAGTCCGTTCAATGAGGTGGCTCAGTATTTCAATCAAAGATGGAAAGGTGTTGCAGAAGCCCATGCCAATCCTAACCAGCTGGCCAAGTCCTTGGGCAATTTTTTTTTTTGCCTTTCACTGATTTGTAATATTCGGGGGTACCCTATTATCAATTGGTGCTGACGTGATGGAAAAGTAAAGATTACTGTGAAAGGGAAGAAAAAATTGATTGCAGATTAGATACAGAGGTCTATCATGCTAATGGCGCATTTTTAGACCAACTAAATTAGATTGAAAAATGGCCTTTCATAGTATGGACCACTCATTACTGGAAATCTTTATCCAATGTGACTGCCTTTTATCTTCTAAACAAACTTTTCGAAAAGGATGCCAACAGACAACCTTTTTTTTCACACAGCATGGTTGGAGCCAGAACTCTCCTTTTTCTTTTCCTTCTGTCTCTGTTTATCGTTTGATCAACCACATCCACATGTTCATGTGCAGATGTTGATGCCATATGCACACATACATGTTCACATGTGGAATACATACATGACATAGAAACATGTACATGTGAATATACTCAAGACTCAACATGATCACGATCGACTTACCTTGTTAACTTCCAAACTTGTAACCATAAATCACATGTAAAGCTACTACATCCATTTATTGACAAAAGGGAAACCACAACTCCAATTTGCTGCACACGGACGCGTATAACGGGCTCTATCAATAGGTGATTCCATCACCATCAGCTGCATGTAATATCATCCCACATATCAGCTGTTTTTGCCTGATTCATACATCACTATAATCACTGTTGACCCTCTGTTGACACACAAAAAAAATATATAAAATTATATCTATATAACTATATTACAAAACAATTGAAAAGTCTTGATTGGTATTGGAGATTGGAGTATTATTGGAAAACTTCCAAGGTCGTCCAATCTGGCCTGTCCAATCCTGTCCAGCAATGACTATCTTCCAGCTTTCTTTGGGCCCTTGTGTTGGTCACCAAAGCCTAATCCTTCGCTTCTCTATTAATTTGAATGGGAGCTTAATCAGGATGAGCGGCCTTTGATTCACAGGGAATGATGCATGAATGATGATGATGATATATTAATGATGATGTATCAAGAACCCAGTCACATACATGCTCCAGACACTGTACAATTTTCATTCTACCTTCCAGGCATAAAGAAACAAGCAGAACCTGCGTGAACCCTTTGCATTATCGTATTCCCTTGATGCAGAATTCAATTCCTGATTTGACAGAGGCATCGATGTCAATGATGATGATGATGGAGGGGATGATGGAGCTGATATTGATGATCCTGATACAGAAGATGATGGAATTGGGTTAAATATGAAAAGACCATGCCTTGGACCTGAACCAAAGAGCCAATCATGAACATCCCAAAAAACTTCTACTCCATTTTTTCCCACATTAATGGACTCATTGCCTCTAAATTTCCACTGAAGATGCTTAATCTGAATAGCTAGTTTCCCATCTACTCTTATCTCCAATACTGGGTCAAACCCATCAGGGCTGCTATTGCTGCGGATACTATTGTTGCATTCGACTGAGATATCATGAAAGGTACCCTTGTCATTAAACTTAACCCTTGTTGAGAACTTCCTCTTACCAAATACATGTTCTCTCCTGGAGACCAACACTGGTTCAATAAGAGATGGCCTGCAACCTGTCTTTCTATAAGCTTCTTTCCTTTGATCACCCAGTAATAACACAACCTCATCTTCACAAACTATAGCAACATAGTAATCTGATCGCGGCTCGGTCTCACCATTGAATTTTGCAGCCTTGAGGTCCCAAACCAAATCAACAGTCCTACCATCAACAATAAAATGCTTGGAGCCTTGTTTTCTCCAGAAATACCACGGCTTCAGCTCAACTTTGCACCTATAATGCTCGGCCCCATCGGTTCCTCGAACAGAAATAGATAGCCCATGTAATAACAAATTCCTACACCATGTAACAGTAATCAAACGACATTGACCAGCAAGCTTTGTTCGATACACTGACTTAAAAACGCTCTGGCCTGATCTGCCTACGCTGGCTGGCTCATCAGCTTGCCTCTGATCACTAGATGAAAAGCAAGCCGGAATTCCTATGGAATCATGCATGATTGATCTCGATAGTGATCTGATCATAGAAGAATCGGTTATTTGGTTTATAAAAAAGTATGAAAGAATTGGCTCAAGATCTCACCAGTAAGATTTGGTTTAGAGATGCAGAGCCAGAGGATTAATGAATGATTTCACCCTGTAAGGTATGAGAGAGAGGGAGAAAGAGAAGAGGGAAGGACAACTTATATAATCAATCAAATCGTATGCAAAGCCCTGTAAGCTGTAGTTTTTTTCTCCCTTTTGTTTCTGTTTTCAACCTTTTCCATGGCCCTCTTCAAAGTGGCTTGGCTTCACTATACGATGAGCTTTTATCTGGAGAAAATTATAAGTGTTTTTCATGCAAAGGTAAAACGCAGACAGATGCCTTTCCTCCGTAATGAATATTTGAAGCCTGCGCGAAAGTCTACTACTCCTCAAAGAAATACATGACTTCACGGTAGAGCACGTGGGCTGGGCTTGGGTGAAAAGGGTACCTAGTGAAGATAATATATAGTACAAGTAAAAAAATATTATATATCTTGAATTACTTACTGCAAATGTAAATTAAAAAAAAAAAAAAATCATGTTTGAGACACGGTAAATTTATCCCTCAAGGTCAAAATTTGACATTTTATTAAACGTAGTTTTAATTTAATTAGTTTATCAAATCATTTTAAAATGTGATATTTAATAATTTTAAATTTAAATCTCAACATATATTATCATTTTTATTAATTTATTTTATTTTTTTAATAAACCTATAAGGCTAAATCTGATTTAAAAAGTAATAATTAATTATCAATTTTTTTTTGTCAATTTTTAAATCTCAAAAGACATTTTTTTAGCCAAACCACATACTTTTTTATAGTTTACCCTTACTACAATGTTCCTATTCTTGTATATATTTCCTTATGCATGTTTCATGTATTTGAATTTTTAATGTAATTATTTTGACTATTAGCTTAAGCATTCTACATTTAGTCGGAGAAAAGTAGGCAGAGAATCTACAACTGATATTTACCAAATCTTATTTTTCAAGGAAAAAAAAAATAACAGTAGTTAAAGTCACAGTGACAAGGACTCTCCATTCAGTATCAAGAGTCCCCATCAACTGCAACTAGTAGTCAGATATTTTGTTGGATTCAATTTGATCCTTCCGTTCAGACTCTAAGTTATTTGAAGTCTGATTTGGAGCTTAGTAGCTTATCTTGTCGCCTAAGGATAAAGTTTCTAGTGTGGCTTCAAGCTTTAAACAGGACTCCAGTATCCGACATCCTGTTCCATCAACTCATCAACCATATTGTTGCTTCTGATGATAGCCTGTAATGGCCCACTGAAGTTCAGACTTCTCCTGGAAAGAAAAAAATTTTCCCACACTATTCAGCTACAAAAACAATTATTTTTATCTGATAAAAATACGGCTATACATCTCCTTCCATACTTGATTCTTTTGTATGCATATTCACTTTCGGGCTAGTTTAATTTCACATGCATCTGACATCATCTCACAGTGCAGTCGCCTTCAATTCTCCTCTAGTCATAGTCATAGTTTAAAAATGAAAAGAAAATATATTTTTCAATTGACTTTGACAGCTCACATGACTGTTATATTCATTATCGTAATCGTTTTATT